ACTATTCTCATGTCATCATCTTTAACTTTTTATATATATATATATACACACATATATATATATCATTTGTTTTAAAAAAAATTCAATAATTTTGCTGCCTTTAATTTTTTATTTAAAAAAAATTAGTTATTTGAATTCAAATATTATTTAAATTTAAATTCAATATAATATCTTTTTTTAGAAAGAAAATATATTTATTACTTTACTTATTTTTAATTTTTTAAAATAATGTATATTTTCTTATAAGTTATATATTTAAATTTTAAAAAATATTATAATTTTTTTTATATAAAATCGCTGTTTTAACATTTTTATAATTTTTCTTTCTTTTTAAAAAAAATAGTTTTCTGCAGCGATTTAATAAAAAAAATTCTTTATAAAATAAATCGCTGTCAGGGCAACGATTTATAAAAAAAAATCTTTTATAAATCGCTGCACTGGCAGCGATATACTTTTTTTAAAAAAAAATATAATTAAAAAAATAATATTAAATCGCTGCCAAGGCAGCGATTTGTAAGAAGCAAAATTTTGAAATCGCTGCCTATTTCATTTTTTTTTTGCAAAACCGCTGCGCTGCACTTGCAGCGATTTTACCGTTTTGGTTAATATAAAATTTTATACATCGTTTTGAAATTTTTGTTAATATTTTGTACCCTTTAAATTTCGGACTCCTTAAAACTACTCCACTAAATTCTTTTGACATCTATTAATGTTTGATACAATCATTCCCTTGATGCAATTTTTGTAATGACAATAATACATAAACATGATTCTTAACTTAGCGTTAGCTGATAACTATGACTCTTAACTTTGAGTGTGCACGAGTAAACACTTAAACTCGTATAAAATTGAACAAATAGACTCATTCGTCCTACATGTCAATTTTATGTCCTACGTGACATCCTACATGTATTATGCCATGTGAGACACGTGTGTCTACTTGTTCAATTTTATACAAATTTAAATGTCCACTTATGCACACTCAAATTGTAGGGAGTAGTTATCCGTTGAAACCAAATTAAGAGTTATATTCCTGAATTATACCTTTTATAATTATTGCTAGTAATTTTACGTAAGGTTGTTGATTAATGTTGCATAAATTTTTGTGCCTAAATCCTAATAATTCAGGACCATTATATTACAAACAAAAAAAGTATAATGGAAGTCTACCAACACTTGGAGTGACTCCAAACTCATGGACCAAGGTAATTAATTACATTGCCTATGATTCTTGTACATCTTTATTAGTTTGAAGGTGAATTTGAATTGTATTTATTCGTTGTAATATTTTCTAAATTGTTAGGTTGCAAATATAATTTTCTTGGAGCAACCTGTAAATACTGGATTTTCATATGCAACAACACCAGAAGCAATGCATGTTATTGATGTTGATGCATGTACCCACGTCTATCAATTTTTACTTAAGGTATGTATATCAAATACAACTCTCTCTCCTCTCGGCTTTTGCTCGTTGGTTATTAATCCGTGTTATCTTGAGAGAACGAATCAATTAGTACTATAATTCCGAGTCACTAATTAAGTGTGTGAGTGAGCTCATTCTAATTGTTTCTAATTATTAATTACAGTGGCTCGTTGATCATCCAGAATTCAGTTCAAATAATTTTTATTTGGGTGGAGATTCATATTCTGGTATCGTTGTTCCACGTGTTGTCCAACTAATATCAGATGGTAATTATAATATATTACTAATTAACTTCATGTATCTAATTACAGAGTTTTGAAGTTATTTTACTGTTTTTTAGTAAGCATTGTTTGTCTAATTACTTAAGAGTTGCATGATCTTAATTGTAGGAATTGAAGCAGGCAACAAGCCTTTGGTTAACCTTAAGGTTTCTAATTATGCTCTTCCTATTCTTAATCTTTTTTTCAAAAAAAAATTATGAGTAGTAGTGTAATTAACAGCTTAATCTAATCTCAGTTGTTTTGGTTAATTTCAGGGTTATTTACTTGGAAACCCTTTAACATTTCCTGAAGAAAAAAATTTTATGATTCCATTTCTTGTTGGCATGGCAATCATTCCTATTGAACTTTATCAGGTAATATAGAGGACGGTTAGTCAAAGTTTTTTCGAGAAAAATAAGTTATTTTGAATAGTAATTAATAAAATTATTTTTAATTATTATTTTTTCTACTAGAAATCTTAGTACCTCAATTCATTCGCTACATGAACATTCATTTGTTTTCTAACTTGTAATCCTCTCAGACATTTTTCCTCTTTCTTTATATACCCCCAATTTTTTTATTTAAATATGTTATTTTTTGATAAGGTAAAAAAGATGGTTTCTCCCACGAACACTTGCTAATAATTTGATTATATAATTATATTTTCAACACGTCTCTCATGTGCGGGTTTGATTTTTTCTTTTCATGAGCCAAGCACATGAATTTTTTTTTGATTTTGGTGGCAGTGAAATTCAATCTTAATACCTCTGCCTGTTTGATACTATAATGAAGTGTGCGATCATCTCATCTAAAAGCTTAAGCTATTAGAAAGGACACATTTTGTTATATAATTGTATTTTCAATAATTTTGAAAGTTTGGTTATACACGTATATTACAATGCTAATATTTTTTCACATCAGTCAATGATGCAAAATTGCAAAGGAGAATACAGAAAGGAGTTTGCTCCCACTAATGCTCAATGCAGCCAAGATCTAAATATTGTGGATGAGGTTAATAATTTCTTAAATATATACGATTATTTATTAAGATTTCCATAATTAATTGGTTGATACTAGTTAATTTGTTGAATTTGCAAATTTTGTAGCTGTCGAACAATATTAATGATCAACATGTTTTAGATCCCCTGTGTGGATCAGAAACAGAATTGAAAAGCCCATTTCCATCTAAATTTAGAGGGAGTAGAAGATCTATTCAAGAGAATGCCATCTCACCCAGCTGTTATGGAAAGCTTGTAAGTATATCTAGGGTAAAGATTCGTTATTCGAATTCATTCAGTGTTTATATCAAAATCAATTAATCAAGAAGTTTAGTGTTTTTAAGGAGGAGGTGTGTGTGATGTGAAACTTCGAAAACAAATAAATGAGATGTCGTAGAAGAGTGTTTTCAAACAAATAAAATGTTATCGTTGATTTGGTAAAAACATCAAATATAAATATAATGATATCATGGTTGCAGGTTGATAGACACGAACTTTCAAATTATTGGGCAAATGACCCTCGAGTCCAGAAAGCTCTCCATGTTCGAAAGGTTTGCGAATGCATCATTTTGTATTTGACTAAATTATTCTCTATGTATATATTATATTAGTAATTTGAATAACTATTTTAAATAAACACTTTTAAGTATCAAATTATGAAAAAATTAATTGTGATATTTGTGTATAAATAATTTCATTCTATATAAAAAAAAATTCTAAATGAATTATTATTTTTTAAAAGAAAAAGTACTTTAATTTTTCAGAAGATTGATTAAATAAAGTATATGTCATGAATTTAAGTTTTATAAATCGAAAAGAAACTTACTATCCTAATATTATTAATGTTATTTAACTTGTTATAGTATGTTTCGATTCTAACTTTTTGATCATCATAAGAGTATTCATTGGTACTATATAGATCTTTTTTTTTTGGAAAATAATAGATTATCGGTATACATAGATATTGAGGTATTATTTTTCCTTTTAATTTTTTTTTTCCAATTTCTTACCAGGGAACTATAGATCACTGGGCAAGATGCAAGCAAAATGGTATTAAAAAATACTATACATTTACCTCTATGGACAGTATTTCATATCATAGAAATCATAGCGCTAAAGGTTATCGATCACTTATATACAGGTAATTCATTTATTTATTTTTTAAAGTTTTTATTTTTTTATATTATTAAATTCGAAACGAGCTCGAAATAAATTTAAAAAATTGTAATTAAATAATTTTATACCTTTTTATTTGTTGAAACAGTGGTGATCATGACATGGGTGTACCATTCCAATCTACAGAAGCATGGATTAAATCATTAAATTATTCAATTGTTGATAATTGGCGTCAATGGATCGTTAATGGTCAAGTTGCCGGGTATTTTCTTCGAGCATAAATTATTTTATTCTCGTAATGCTTTTTTTTTTCTTTCAAATTCATAACTTGTGTTTTTTCACGAAAAACTTTGGATAAAAAGTATTTTTCATAAGTAGATTTTAAAAAATTCAAATAAATGAACTATTAGATTGCCTTTTTCTTTATCATTATAGATACCAAATTTGATTTTGATTATTTATTTATTTATTCATTTTTGTAGATACACAAGATCATATGCCAATAAGATGACATATGCAACTGTAAAGGCAAGTACTTTATATTATTATTTTCCATCACATTTGTTTGTTTTATTGTACATTTGATTTTTATTTTCACCGTCTTTTTATGTTTTTTGTTATTTATTTATTTATTTTAAACAGGGAGCTGGACATGTAGCTCCTGAGTACAAAAGGGAAGAGTGCTTTAATATGTTCAAAAGATGGATATCTCATAATCCTTTATAGAGATTATTATTGAAGTTATGAGCCAATAATTGACGTTGGAATCTGCTTTTAAACAGAATCGAGATTTTATCAAAAATAATTATTTTATTTTCGTATGATAGGAATAGGGTCTATGGAAATATTATTCTTTTTAACTCTTAATTACATGTTGTTTTACTATTATTGAGACATAATTATTACCTCTCCTTTTCCTAATATTGTGCATTGCATTAACAAACAATTAAGTGGACGTTTGATTATGAAAATTAAAAAAATTACTTTTTTAAAAATTGCCATTGAATCTCCCGCTATAGGTTTTTAAAAAGATTTTCAACAAGCCTAACTATTGTCAAATAACACTGATTCATAAAATGATTCAAATATTAAATTAATGTTAGTCCTTTATATTTAATAGTAAATAAAAACCCAACATTATTCCATTGGATAACATCAACTTACTCATAATTCATCCATAAGATATCTCAATCCGTTAGATTAATTTTCCTTATTATTAGTTATTTTAGAAGCATTGATTAAATTGTATTAATAACGTGATTTAGTAAAATTATCATTTTATTAATCATTCCTTAAATAATGCACCTCAATACATCGTCTAGTTCATTACTATTGGAGGCTCTTTAAGAAAAATATTAAGGACATAAATTTTAAATTAAAGGCTATTTTTCACAATTTTTTAATATTCAAATTAATCTCTTGGAAGATGTAAAGTAGTAAAACATTCACAGAATGAAAAACAAATGAGGAAAAAAATCTCAATAATTTTCTTATACATTTTGAATAATTCATTTATTTTAAATTATAAAAAAAATCTAAAATTTACTTAATATGAAGTACTTAGACAAAGATGAGAAAATTGCTTACACAATGAATATTTTAAATTTAAAAGCATAAAATTAATATTTATTTATTTATTTTTTAAGTTTTCGTTTTTTAAACTAGGTGTCAAATCAAATTAGTACTTTGACTGACCCGTTTCTTCTAAGCGGATCCTATGATACCCGACCGACCCGTTGGCGCTTAAACCCTCGGAGAAAACCTAGCGTGTACGGTGGGCGCTAATGACCTATTGTCTTCTCTTTTCCCCTTTCACTTCTCATCTTCTTCATTGCCCCTTCACCAATCAGTCGAAAAAACTCTTCACAAAAAGCTGTAATCTTTAGCTTCGGAGATGCTCGAAGTTCATCGGAGCAGCTCAGTTGAGTGGAAGCCATCACCGGTGGTAGCCTTAGCTACCAGCGTCGACGATTCTCAAGTCGCCGCCGCACGTGAGGACGGTTCTCTTGAGATTTGGCTTGTTTCTCCTGGATCAGTCGGCTGGCACTGTCAGCTTGTACGTACTTGTATTTTGCTTATATTTGTATACTTCTTCGGGTTATCATGGGAATTGAAGTTTTGGATTTTTTTTGTGGTTAGACAATACACGGGAATCCAAATTCTAGGGTTTCTTCGCTGGTTTGGTGTCGGTCGGGCTCCGGTGGTGCGCCTGCTGGAAGGTTGTTGTCTTCCAGTATTGATGGATCAGTTTCTGAATGGGACCTTTTTGATTTAAGACAGGTGTGTGAAAAAAATAATCTTTGCTTTTATTGTTTTTCTTGAATGGCATTTCAAATGTTGAGCTTTTTATTGCTGTACTTTGGAGATTTCCTACTATTCTAAGCTATTTTTATTACCAGTAAGTGGCTTATGCTTGGATAGAGTTGCATTTGCTATGCTTACCAGAAATCTTAGAGACCATTATAAGGGAATGGGGCAGAATTGATTATTAGCTCCTGTGTAGGAGGTCGGATGAAAAGAATGTACCTTTTAACCTATCTAGTTAACATAGAATTGTAGGCCTAGTGAAAATTGACTACCCGCGGAAGACAAGACATTTTTTGCATTTTGTTAAGCTGTTTGTTGTTATTTAATCACTTTATGGTTTTTTTGATCTAAATCAAGTAATGGTGTTGTTTCTATGGTTGTTTGCAGATTGCGTTAGATTCTATTGATGTTGCTATATGGCAGATGGCTGTGGAGCCATGCAGTAATTCACACCTTAATCAAAAGCAGTCTCCCAAGCATTGTGAGAATGGGCACGATAATCATAGAAATAGTGAGAGCAGCGATAGTGACAGCAGTGAAAGCGAAGATGGTGATGACTCTGTAGAGCTTCACGAGGATCATGCTAGTGATAATAGCCGAATAGCATTTGCTTGTGACGATGGCCGTGTAAGAATCTATGTAGTCGATGATGATAAAAATTTAACTTTCAAAAGATCATCACCAAGTGTCAAGGGTGAGACAGCTACCCTTAAGAGTCACAGCACATTTGTGAATGTCACTTGGTATTATAGAGTTGTATTTTTTTTTTTTATAGGACGTACATTGAGTGTCACTTGGAGTTCTGATGCAAATAGGATATTTTCTGGGAGTAGTGACGGGTATGTTTCATTTTTGATATAACCTACCAGTTGATTTCTAATGAAAACTCAAAAAGACATAAAGGTTGAGGCATGAAATTACTTTTTTATATTATGTCCATGGTGAATTTTCTGATGGAAGTTGTTTCTTTGCAGGGTTATAAGATGCTGGAATGCCGAAGTAACTCATGAAATCTACAGGATATCAGTTGGTCTTGGAGGGCTGGGTAGTGGATCTGAATTATGCATATGGTCGCTACTTGCATTGAGGTGAAAATTAAATTGGAAATGCTTGCATTAAATATATGTGAAGAAAAGAAGTTCATTTCTCCCCTTTTTTAAGAATGTTCCATATGATGTTCCAATTTTTCCTTAATTTCATATTGTTTCCAGATGTGGTACCCTCGTCAGCGCCGATAGTTCCGGGAGTGTTCAGTTCTGGGACACCCAACATGGGACTCTTGTGAATGCACTTTCCAATCATAAAGGCGACGTAAATGCTTTAGCAGCATCTCCCAGCCATACTAGGGTGTTTTCTGCTGGCTCTGATGGTCAGGTATATAAATGTCAACCCCTAGAAATAGGAAACTTTTGGTTGGAGTTGTAGGGGCTTGTCCACCTGCTATTTTAGAAGTTGTAACTAAGATAATGATGCAGTGCATCCTTTTATTTTAGCCAATTGGATGGTCTAAATGGCTAGTCCGAGATTCTTGGGTTGGTGTTGGTTCCGAAAATGACTGGTTCGTTTTTGAAACAAGCACTGCCGGTACTGTTTACTTGTGTGTGCTTTGCATGGGAAAAGTGACCCCACCCTCCATCGGAGCATACATTTGCAGCTTTTGTTAACATGCACTTTTTCGACAAAAAGGTTCACCTTCAACAAAATATTCTTATTTGGAGTATCTTTGGTGATGTTTTGTTGGTTTTATCTTGTTAATTTCACATATGTTAAGAGCTTCTCAGAATGTTTTCAGGCTTAAGTTTTTCGTCCCAAAGAAAATAGTCAGAATCTCTTTTCCCTGCACAACATACCTAATGTAGTTTCACAAGGTGGGATCTGGGGAGGGTGTACGCAGACCATACCTCTGACCTCAGAGGTAGAGAAGCTTTTTCCGATATAAGCTCGACTCTAGACTAAAACAATCTATGAAAAGAACAGTTACCAAAGCAACAGATATTAGCAGAATAATATTACAACAAAATAATGCTATATATAATCAAACTAAACGAAACAGATGGTAACAGAAATCAAAGAACAAGAAACTACAAGAGCAATACTATAACTACTAGTATTGACAACAAGACAATACCATCTTACCTACTTGTATGGACGCACTTCTACCTACTACCATTTCACCCTAATTCGTGTCCTCCGTAACTTCCTATTTGAAGTTTCGAAGGATAATGTGATTTTGGTTTATATTATGCATTTTCCCTTTACCCCTTTAGAGATGAAGAGAGAGAACACAAATTAGGTCTATCAATAAAAAAAATTTAGATTTAATTTTTTTGTAACTTCAAAAAATTTAATAACAAGTTGAAATTTCACGTGTTTTGGTATTAATTTTTAACTTGTTCAACAATTTTAATTAGGAGAGATTTTTTGGGCTTACGCCCCAAAAGAAAAACTCACTCAATGCCTAAGCGTATGCTCAGATTGATAAGGTTTATGCCTCATTATACTTCAACTCCCCACAGATCTCCCTAGTGCGTTTTGTGCTACACTCCACCCTGAGGCATGTCCAGGAATGCCTTTTGAAACACTGGTGTTACCATGCTTCAATAACTATGCAGTAATCTGTACTTACCTTTTTTTCTCCAGTGTATGATCTTTTCAACTAAATATTTTACTGAGGAGTCTTGTATTCTCCCTTCATTTACTTTTACTTGTCACATTTGGAATTGGCAAGGCATGAAGAAAATAATGATTGATGTTGGTTATTTACCACACTACCCCTATTAATTAATGTTTAGTATTAGGTGTGGGCAAGTGGTTAGGGGAATAAGTAATTAATGCCGAGGTAAAACATGGAAAAATAATTTTTTTTCTTGATACGTTAAAAGTGAGGAGGAAAAGTAAAAATCTATTTGGATAGTGGACAAGTAAAAGTGCAGCAGTTTATAATTGTTCAGAGATGACAGGCAAACATCCTCTCCCATAGCTGCTGACAGTATGCTGCTGATTTTTAGGTTGTACTTTATAAGCTCTCTGTGGATTTTGCTGGGGCTAACGAAGGAAATGTAACCTCCGGAGTCATGAAGAAATGGGTTTATATTAGTCATGTGAGGGCCCACACACATGATGTGAAGGCCTTGACAATTGCTGTACCCATCAGTCGCGAAGGTTAGTTCATTTGTATCCTCTGATAGTAAAATTGATCCTTTGCCCCTTCTTCTAACTGAATTTTAGATTCTCGCAGAGTTGTCTTCGTACAGTCTGTTGGAATTTGTTATTCTGTTCTATTGTTAATCATCTTCATTTTCCTTTCAGATACCATAGTTGAACGGGACTTAAAGAGACCTCGATCTAGGTCAAAGCTCCTTGATTCCAGTTACCATAAATGGGCACATTTAGGTGTTCCGATGCTTATTTCGGGTGGTGATGACACTAAACTTTTTGCGTATTCTGCGAGGGAGTTTACCAAGTTTTCTCCACATGATATTTGTCCTGTACCCCAGAGGCCGCATATACAACTTGCAGTAAATACAATATTTAATCAGGCTGCGTTACTCTTAATCCAAGCTTCCTACTGGATTGATGTTTTGTTAGTTCGAGCTGT